AGGAATCCGTGAATCATTCGCACTGCATATTGCGTGAACCTGTTGATTGATTTCGTCGCTTAAATTATCTTTCGAAGATTGGGAAATCTGGAAATCGTCCCCATTTTCTTGGATATCTTGGGATATGAAGGCCTGAGTTCCTTTTTCCTTGCGGTCTGAATTAGCTTCTTTATCATTATTATTCTTCAGAATATTTCCGATCTCATAGTCCTTGGGATTCGCGGGTCGTATATTAAAGGTGGGTACGGGAATTTCTACTTCAATATCCAGAGAATTTATCACTTCTGTATAGGCCTTGCCGTCTGTATTTTTTATCAGTTTATTTGTTATCATATCTACACCTTTACCGATGGTTATCTTAGGTAGATAACCTTCTTTGATATGCGGGTTTCCGATACGCACGTAGAACAATGCCTTTGAACGCGCAGGAATTATTATAGATTCGGGAGAATAAAAAGGGATCTTTGAATTCAAAACGTCTAAATGCCCTTTAGAAAAATCAATTTTTGCTCCTATGAGGCGAAAAAAGTCGTTATCTAAAATTCCGCATGATTGAATAGGAAAGTCGTCTGAAATAACATGAAAACTGGCAGAAATACCCAGGACTGTCATAGTTATTTCACCTATAGTATATACGGGATGTTCATTAATACCATTTAATTTTAATATACGAGCAAAATCTATTATTTGGTTCCTTGGAATTCTGTTTTCTTTAATTAAGTTGGGTCTTGATCCAATATCGAACATAAAGGTTTCAAAATTATTAGCGTCAAACTTATTTGGACAGTGGGAACACAACTTTCCTTATTCAAATTAATTTCTACCTGTCGGATTAAAGAAGTTCAGTTATTATTTCATCACCCTAAGCCGTCATTACAGAGCGCCTGGTTCCGGCGGTTCCCCGAGTCGCGCCCGTAGTCGAGGAACTCGCTTGATTTCCCTGTCTCCTATTATTATTCTCGATTCTCAAAACACAATTTTCTAATTGTAGGGATTTGCGTATTCATTATGGTTAATTTTAGTTTTAGTATTATACTACTGCGTTTAGTTTCTTTTATGTTATATGTACTGCGCGTTGATAAAAGTTGGTTAGCCTGGTTTCTATACATATATAAGATGGCTAGTCTAGTCTAGTCAGCGCCGGCTCTATGGCTGTACAAGAAGAGGAGGCTCTCTCTCTGGTGTAAGACAGAGTTCAATTATAAAGTAGTAAAGCCTCCAACTATCAGGATTCCTGATCTCTTCATTGTAAAAACCCTAACAATTGTGGTAGCAGAACGTAGTTACCGCAAAGAAGCTGCTGCAAAAGAGAGAGCGAAAGGCCGACAAGAAAATTTTGAGCAGTTATTGAAACAAGAAGCGGCCACGCCGGAAAGATCGGGAAGGTAAGAAAGAAAGAAAAGAACGCAACAAAAAAAAATGGATACCAATGAGTGCTGTTCCACAACTTACGGCAACAAAGTACTTCGTGTGGGCTATGAAATTAGAAGCAGTATTAGGTCTAAAAAAGGCGAGATACGTTCTCACAACCGACCGACCTACGAATGATAGAGAACGTGAGAAATGGGATAACGATAATAATGACGTTGTATCTATTATAAAGCTAACCTTGTCCGATGAACAAGCTATGCAATTCGTGGACGAAACTAACGCAAAGGAACTGTGGACGAAAATCAAAGAAACGTATGTGGGACGTCTTGAAAACTCTAAAATCGACGCCACTGTTGAACTACGTAGCATAACAATGAGCGATAAAGAAACGGTAGTGGATTACATCGCACGTGCACAAAGTTTAGCGTCGAAATGCAAAAGTCTGAGTGTTAATATCTCAGACCGCGAACTCGTATACTACGTAGTGAGAGGCCTGAATAGTAAATTTAATCGCATAAGAAATACACTTAAGACACAACGAGATAAGAAGCTAGACGACGTATTAGAAGATTTACGCGAGGAAGAAAGAGAGCTGATTAATCAGAAGAAACGTAACGATGCAGCTTACAAAACTAGAGTTGGAAAACGCAACACTGGGAAGAAATGCTACATATGCAAAAAGCCTGGGCATATAGCGAAGGCGTGCTGGCATCGAAAATTTAACGACAACGATGGTGAGAAAAAGGACCGACAAGACAGAGGGCCTAGAAATCAGCGGGGTAACACGCAGCACCGAGCTTACTCGCAGAAGGATCGTCGAGATGGACGCAGTAATCGAGAAGAGAAACCACTGATAACTATGCGTTTGAAGCATTGACGAAGATTGTAACGATAATCATAAAGTAAGTTGGGTACTAGATAGCGGTTGTAGTAGTCATATGATCAAAGAGAAATTCGTGCTAAACAGTTTTAATTATGTAAAAGGCGACGTTTTTCTGGCGGGTAAAGGATGTATGACAAAATCAGAAGGAATCGGCTCAATTAATAGTAAATTTGAGATTAATAACAAGTACGGTCCTAATATACATCTTAGAGATACTTTACCTGTGTGTACCTAAATTAAGAAATAACTTGCTTTCCATACGAAAATTAGATGAAATGGGTTACAAAGTAATATTTGGTAATGATTCAGCGCTAATCTACGATAGTAAGAAAACACTTGTAGGGAAAGGAATTAAAGACGGCCCTAAATACATTATAGAGAGCAAAATTACGATTAATGTTTGTTTTATGAGCATAGAGAATGTAGGAAATATGAGTAATGAAATGTTATGGCATAAACGTTTAGTGCATTTGAGTCTTAGATATATTGATAAATTAATTAAAGAATCTCTGGTTGAAAATTCTCATAAAATCTGTAGAGGTGAAATTGAATGTGAATCTTGTAGTGCATCCAAGCTAACACTAAAACCTCACAAAATAATAGAGTATAGAGTTACTAGTAAACCATTAGAATTGGTATATATTGACTTGTGCGGACCTATGCCAACTAATTCGATTAAAGGCTCCAGGTATGTGATGGTAATAGTAGATGATTATACTGGCATGTATTTCGTATACTTTCTTAAACAGAAAAGTGAAGCATTAGGCATTAGACTTTGTTGAACTTCAGAGAAAATTCGAAAACAGATTAGGAATTAGAATTAGAAGTATTAGAACTGATAATGGTCGAGAGTTCATTAACAAGAATTTTCGTAAACACTTAAACGATTCAGGTATTAGTCATCAAAAGACCGTGCCTTTTAACCCACAAAGTAACGGAAAAGTAGAAAGAGCGAATTGCATACTATTAGATAGGGCCCGTACCATGCTTTATGATAGTAAGTTAAATCCCAAATTTTGGGCAGAAGCATGTCATATCTCAAATCTAATACCTAGAAAAGGGAAGAAGAATACCCCATTCGAATTATTTTTTGGCCATAAGCCATCTCTGGAACATTTAAGAGTATTTGGTTGTGTTGCATTTTTCTAAGTGCCTAAACATTGCGATAAATTAGAGCCTAGAAGCGAAATTGGCAAAATGGTAGGATATGCTAGAAGTCGTAACGGATACCGCATTTACGACATTAAAAATCAAAGAGTAGTAGAAGAGCGAACAGTGAAATTTCATGAAAACGCTATAAGTTCTGTTTTAATTAATTCTAAAGAATTGTCCAATGATGAACTTAAAATTTTTTATTTCGAGTCATTAGGTGAAAAAATATGAGTTAGGTGATGAGTTAGGTGATAGGGAAGAAATACCTAAAGATGACGTAGATGTAGAACCCAATATCGGATCAGATACAAGCGATGACGGAAATAATCCTCCTCAGAATATAAATATAAACGAAAGGCATAGGGGTAGACTAGAAGGTACGACTAAAACTGTAATGCAAATCCGTTTAGATGAACAAAACCGAGATCGTGAGGCAAGATTATTAGAGCAAGGTGTTCGCAGATCACAACAAATTGCTAATAATAATAATGTTCCTATACGCGATACAAATGATTCCGAAGCTAACGAAAGTAATAATGAAATAATTCCCAATAATCTTGAAGAAGCAAAAGTAAACATAAATAAATTGGCATGGCGCTATGAAAACTGAAATAGAGTCGCTAAATTCACACAATGTGTAGAAAATTGTTGACAGATCACCGAATGTGAAAACTCTGAAAAGTAAATGGGTTTATTCCATTAAAAGTGACTCTAAAAATGGAGCGAAAAAATACAAAGCACGATTAGTCGCCGCAGGATTTAATCAAGTAAAATATAGAGACTACAAGGAATCATATTCTCTTGTAGTCAACATCGAAGCATGGAGAACGTTGTTGAGTATTGTGGCTAACCGAAATATGCGCATTTGTTTTTATGATGTAAAGACAACTTATCTGTATGGATCTATTGATGAAACAGTGTATATGGAAGCACCCCCTGGATTTGAAAATATGATTGGTTGTAATAAAATATATAAGTTACAGAAAAGTATTTACGGATTGCCCCAGTCTAGGCGTAATTGGTTTAAACGACTTCGTAAAGAATTATTAGACTTAGGTCTTAAACAATTAGCCAGCGATAATTGCATCTTCGTATATTACCAAAATAATGGTTTTATTTGCGTAAGCATTTATGTAGATGATCTTTCTATCATTGATAATGACACTAAAGCAGGTAACGCGTTCGTTGAAAGATTAAGCAAAGTATTCGAACTCAACGAAACTACGAATAAAGGTATATTTTTAGGTATGGAAACCAAACAATCCGAAAAGGAAATAACAATCTCTCAGAAAGGGTATATTAAGACATTGTTAGAGAAATATGCAATGTTAGATTGTAAACCAGTGGGGACATCCATAGTCCCAGGATAAGATAAGGAATCTGATACATCTGATGATGTCATTAAGCTAAACGACTACCAAGAAATAATCGGAGAATTACTTTATTTAAGGGGAGATATACACCTAGCATGGTCGAAAAAATCGATTTTTTTTTTGCATTTTCTTGATGCTTGAGGTCTCAAGAATATCTGGTTAAAATTGCAAGTCAATATCTCGATAAATAACGAAGTTACAGCCGAGAGAGTAAACCGTCTCCGAGAGCGCGCCGTACCGCCTGTTTTGCGGCCGAGCCGAGAGGCAGCGACCCTTCGAAGAGAGCGTGTCTAGACCTGTTTTACGATTCTATTGTGTTTTCGGGCGTGGTCGGGTCCAGGTATAACGGAAATATCACACGACCGTTATTCTTTGCCGGAAATTGGACGCGTTTCGTCAGTAGCTTGCCGTTCGTGCAACTGTGCGTTACAGTGAGTTTTCGTCTGTGAATACATATTCTGAGGAAAATGGATAACAGATATAAAGGTTCTCGGGAAGCTCATCAATCCGGATCTTTTCGCAAAGATCGAAGCAAGAAGAAGAT